TACTTGCGAGCATAAGCCTTCTTGCTGGTTCGTCCGTGGACTTCCAGGGCGCACTGGCCTGTTTTCGTATGGCAGTTCCGGCCCGTCCTGGTTGTGGGGGTATGTGGGCCGGTGGACTGCTCCTAGCAGCTGCCTGGTGGGCCATCCTCTGGCCGGTCTGGCCTGACCTTGGGCCGGGCTTGAGGTGTAAAAGAGCTCCCAGTACCTCATCCAGCAGGTATCGAGCGGGGTTTCTCCGCCGTCGGTCGCCTGGCGCAGGTTTCTGGGCCTGCAGGGTTTTGTCGTGTCTCCGTTGGCCCTGTCTGGGGTCTGCCTGCTCCGTTCTCTGCCTTTGCAGAGGGGAGTTGCTATTTACATGTTGCATGTTGCAGTGGTGCCTGTTGCTGCTGCTGCTGCACGTGAGCATTGGTACCGTGTTTCACGGTGGCGTGTCCTTGTTCCTGTGTCCGGTTGTGGAGTGGCGCTTTGCTGCCGTTTTGTGCCTGGGGATTGCGTGGGGTTTTTGTCCCTGCCTGATTGTCCACCCCTGGTTGTTCTCCTGGTTTTTTTTTTTTTTTGTGCTTCTGCTCTTTCTTCCTGCCTCTTCTGCAGCAGGAATGTTCTGAGTGTGTTCTTAGGCGTTGGTCAGCCTGTGTCCTGTGATGTGCTTCTTTGTCTCGGTCTGTTGCAGTTGTTCGGGCCCCTTGGTTCGGGTCCTGTTCTGGCGGCGACCCTTCCGCCTTCTTTGGTTTTCCTAGCTTGCCCTGCCGGTTGTTGTTGTTGTTTTATTTTTTTTGGGGGGGTTCTTGCGATGTCTCGCGTCGGACCCGTCGTTTCTGAACTCCTGGCGGGCTTGCATGCTTCGGAGTTTTTCTGTTCGGCAGACGTTCCATCTCCTTGTGCCGCCTGGGTTTCGGTGGTCGCGCCCGAGATCTTCTCGCGGCTCCGCCTTTTTCCTGGGCTCGGGGGGGCCTTGTCGGGGCTGCTTATGTTCTGCCTCGTGGTCTCGCCTCCGGTTGGTGGTCGGGTGGCTTCGTGGTAGGTGTCCCACCTGCGTGCTTCTTGGCGGCAGTATGGGGTATTTTGGCGGTCCTTCCTTTTCCTGTCCCTTCTTCGGTGGGTCCTTCTTGTTGGCTTGGTTTACTCTCGGCTTGGTTTTCTAGTGGGGATTGGGGGCCGTCGTCTTGCCACATACTGTCGCCTCTTTTCGTGCGGCGCAGGCGGAGCCGCTTCAGCTTGCTTTCGGTCTTGGTGTTGCTTCTGCACCGTTAGTCAGCTGTCTTGTGCGTCGTTTCACCTCCGGCCTGTTCGTGCGCCGCTTGCACCATCCTGGTCTCTGGTCAGCGTGCTCTGTCTTCTCCTCGGTTGGTAGTGCCCCTTCGGTTCCGGTGTGTTTTTTCGTCGGCTCTTTCCTTTGGGCCTTTGCCTCTGGTGGTCGGTTCGCTGTGTTTTCTTGCTCCTTCGGTTTTAGCGTTTTGGTTGTTTGATGGCAGCAGTCTCCATCTTTTCTGGCGCGGGGTGGGGCTGCTGCATTCTGGAGGGGTCCAGGGTTTGTTGGTGCTTTGTTGGTCGGGCCGGGGGTGTGTCGTTTTTGTGTTCAGTGGCGGCCCTCTGCTGTTGTTTGCGTGCCACGGCGTTTGGGTCCGGAGCGCGTTTTGCGTTGATCCGGTTCTGTTCTTCCCGGTTCGCGGGTGATGGTGTCCCGGGTGGTCAGCCGTGTTCTTGTGGCTAAGCTGCCTGTGTTCTTCCCTCATGCCTGTGGCGTTCGTGGCTTCGCTGCTCTCGCTGCCGTCTGGGCGACGTGGCCTTGCAGTCTTTCGGGCATGGATTTTTGGTGTTCGTGCAGGGGCCTTGCTGCTCGTGGTTCTCGTGTTGTTCCCGGGATTTTCGGGGCTGTGGCGCCTTGGGTTGGCGTTTGCTGCCGGTTGTCTCACCTCCTTGGGGGGTGCGTGGTGTCCGCCTCCCGGTTTTGTCCCTTTGACCTTCCTCTGTGGGTAGTTAGCTCCGGGGAGCCGACGGGGCTCCCCCCAGAAAACCAGCGTTGAATGTAATGAAACGCCATTTTCTGGGTGAGACCCGGAGGCTCCCCGGCAACCCTCCCTCCCTCCGGTCGGCGTTTTTCGCGTGTTTTGACATCCAGCCTCAGAACTGATGGGTGGATAGCCGGCGTGGGAGGTCTGGGGCTCCCCCTTCCCCCTCCCGGGGAGGGGGGAGCTGCGCAGACAGCGGCGCGGTGACGTATGACGTCATACTAGTTTCCGTGTTTTCTGTTGAAGAGTTCTATTCACTAGTTCGGCTTAGGTAGCAATTTTCACCAGAATAGGGGTTTGTTTTGGAATGCTTACCTTTCTGGATGCTTGACCCGGTCGATGGCAGACATAGAATGCTTCCAACCACACGGGGGTTTCTATAGGCCATTGCTCCCCTTGCCTCTCTGAGGGGGCCAGGTTCTGGCTCGTGGTCCCCGGTAGGCCCTAGAACTCCATACACATGACTGATGCCAAAGTCTGACATTAGCATATCAGCCGGTAAAGCTCCGGGGAGCCTCCGGGTCTCACCCAGAAAATGGCGTTTCATTACATTCAACGCTGGTTTTTTGTGCATAAACTTCAACAAATCATGCAAATTTGTCCAAATGATCACAAACGTAACTTAAAAAATAAGAAAATAAAAAATAATTATAAAATTGAATATTGGAAACTTCAAATTGTCAAATCGGGTGCAAAAATATAAAATATCACCAATTGTTAATTTTGTGTTATGCTCTCAGAATAGCATATGATCTTCATTTTCATAGATTTAGAATATAGGTTTTCAGTTTAGTTTACTGTAAAAAAAATCCCCCCCCCCTTGTATACTTTATATAAGTGATAAAGCCCTAATCTAGTCCCTAATCATCAAAACAACCTAAAGAGACAAAGAAAATAGTTTGAAATCTGAAAAAATTGACCAACAAAAATTTAAAGTACCAAGTTCTACCATTTGTGACCGATTTATTTGTTGACCAATTTCATTCTATCTTCACATAGTTTGGGATGGGTATGCATTCTCCAGATGTTGAGGTTACAACAAAATCAGATAATACTTAAAGGAGACAAAAAAAAAAACACCTAAAAATATATTTTTTGGACATTGGTGAAAGATATTAACATTGGGCAATGTATTTTTATGATATATACCAAAATAGAGTACAATAACATACTTATTATTATTGGTGTTATTATGTGTTACTCAGCAATGCTATAAAGGCACCAGCTGCATATCCACTTTGTGGACACTTCTTACTATTCTTCTTTTGTGCATTGGATAGATGCTTGTATCTCTTTATTACTGCATTATCCATCAGTTCCAGTTTATTGGAGCTGTTCTCCTTATCAACAAAATGTTCTTCGTTTTACAAAAATTGGTCTAAAATCCATTTCTCAAAATATTAGGATGAAACTTTCACGACGCTGAAGTCAATAAGATGGAGATTAGTTTTAACATTTAATATTAATTTTCACATACAGTAATTCAAATATTTTTTTCGCCCAGCCCCAGCTTATACCCGCATTTACAGCCCAGGCTGTAGCAGCTTAAGGGTTAAGTACAAAATAATTTCATTTCTCCATAATATATTTTATGAAGGGGAAGAGGGGCTAATGGAGGGTAAAGTGGAGAGAGGGTGGATGAGGGGAAAGGGCAGGAGGGGTGAGTGTGGATGACAAGGAAAGGGAGAAATTCAGGTAGGGGGTGGTAGGAGAAGGGAGGACACAGGAAGGGGAAATGGGGAGGTAGAGATGTTAAAGATATCTCGACAATGCTTTACAGTTTGGATGGATGGTAAGGTTACTCTTACAAAATAAATAAATGCCACCACTGCTCCTCCTAGAACCTTAATAATTAGGCTAATTGACTCAGGGGTCAAAGGGGGGGCTGGGGGGGACCAGTCAACTAACACAGAGTGCTTAGGGAATTTAAACTAACTATAGATACGTACTGGGTGAATAGAATTCCTTCTGCATTTACTTCATGAATTACATGGGGAATATGTACTCATAAAAATGCTCATAAGATCACAGGTATGTCCAAATCAAATTAAGATTTATATCTCTGAATTAATTAAGGGAAAAAAAATAAAATACACAGGAAAATAATTAACTATTTAATAATGCAAATTAATTAACCCAAAGCTAGTGACATCCTATTCTTTAGAGGCGCAGTAATGAACTATAAATTGTACACGGAACTCGCAGACAAATACCTTTATCACTGCTTCTGCATAGGTGGTGATGTGGCCTCCCGGCCAATACTTCCACCCCCTCTAGCACTAGTCCAAATTACGCTAAAGATCTTTTGCTCTCCATCCTTCAAGGTGAAGTTTGGCTCCACCTACTAAGGCTCATCTTGCCCTAGAAACTCCACTCTTATTTCCAGGCCTACACCCAGTCAGCTTAAACCAGGCGTTAAGGTCCTGGCACTCTCAGGCAATGACAAGCAATGCCTGACCCTTGGCCAATGCAGCTATAAAACTTCAATAAGGTGGGGTTTTCTCACAAACTGGAACTACCGAGTCTGGCCTACCGAGGGGGAGAAGTAACAGGCCTCTCTTGTAATTTGAAATGGCAGTAAACCTTGTGCGCTTGCCATCTAGGGGAAAACAATTAACCGTATATGGTTCAACCACTAGCCAAGGGCTGGGATAGTAGGGGAGAGGGGAGAAAGGAATAATAAGAAAGGGAAGAGGAAGAAGAGGCTTGCTTGTCTGGTCGTTACACTAGTGTGTGTGTAATTACCTAAGTGTAGTTACAGGATGAGAGCTATGCTTGTGGTGTCCCGTCTTCCCAGCACTCATTGTCGTATGATGTTTTGAAACTACTGACAGTTTTGGCCTCCACCACCTTCTCGCTTAGCTAAAATTAGTGTGTGTGTGTAGTTATTATAACTAGTACCATTATTGTTATACAAACCTGGTATATCATGATAATTCTTAAGATGACAAAATATAATCAATTATATAATATAAATTATTAATTTTTCAGAAGATGAGGAGGATGGTCTAGAAAACATGGATGGCATGATAGAGGATGTAGTGGCAAGGATGACCAAAGTCAAGCATATAAAGGGAAAGCTCTTATCTTTTTGTGAGAATCGAAGACCTGCATATTGGGGCACTTGGAATAAAAATAGTTCTTCAGTATCTGCTCGACGGCCTTTTGCAAAAGATGTAAGCACAGTATAAGTCATGGTTTGGAAGGATTTGTCAATTAAGTTTACTGTATATTTCAAGTGTATATATATATTATCATTTTACAGAAAATTAATTCATTTTTTATTTTCTTTATTTACTACTGGATATAAAAGTTTTTATTTATTTGTATACATTACCTCTGGTACAATCTAACTGATATTATACAATAATTCAACTCTTCTAATTTCTCATAATGGGTTTTGTTTTGATATTTGATACACCTTTTACTGCTCATCGACAAACTGTGTTCAACCTTTTTGGCGCTTTCTAGTCTTTGTGTAATTCTGTAGTCTCGTCAGTGTCATTTGTTTTTTAATATGGCAATAAAAGTGCTTGACTCGTATTGCAATTATATTCATTAGATTTTACTATGGTATCTGAGTCCTTATTCTTTACTTCTTTTATCTGCCCTCAGAAAATATTTGATTATGAGTATGACAGTGATGATGATTGGGAAGAGGAGGAAACGGGCGAAAGCTTAAGTGACTCTGAAGGTGAAGAGAAGGAGGAGGAAGGTGACGGGGACCAGTATGAGGTAGACAATGACTTTTTTGTTCCCCACGGCTACTTGTCAGACGATGAAGGCAGGTCGGATGAAGAGGATGCCCAAGCTGAAGCTGTGTCTGAGGTGAGAATACTTTGTTTCATCACATATATCCTCCTTATTTCTTTCTTTTTTCTTTCTTTCTTTTCTTTTTCTTTTTCTTTCTTCTTTCTTTCCTTTTTTTCTTTTTTCTTTCTTTCTTCCTTTCTTTCTTTCTTTTTCTTTCTTTCTTTGTCCTTTTTTCTTTCTTTTCTTTTTCTTCTTTTTCTTCTCTTCTTTCTTTCTTCTTTCTTTCTTCTTTCTTCTTTCTTTTTTCTTCTTAGTCTTTCTTATTTTTTTGTCAATTTTCTTTATTGATGTAAAGCTATAGCCTATGTTGCATGAAGGTATTACTCTTATATATTTTAGTATCTGTAATTGTATGCTGTATACTTATAATATTCTTCTTGGGATATAAGGATAACCTTAAAGTTGTGCATTACATTACAATGCTAGTACTCCATACTAACTTTTCCTCCTGTGTGTGTGTACTTATCTACAGCAATGGGGGGAGAGCTCTAGCTCAGGAACTCTGCCTCAAAGTTGTTGGCAGTGGTGCTTTTACTTATATTTGTCGTGTCGCTCTACTCTTATAAATTTCTTTGGTGTCCCGATTTCTCTAGAAAGAAGAGTAAAGGAGTAATGAAAGAGCATGTGAATAACCCTTAGTATGCTGATTTCAAGTCCTATATTCTTTTTCATTGAATTTACTAAATGGATTTTCTGCAATCGATGCAGTAATGCATTCATAGCTATACTTTTGAATGCAAACAAATTTTCCATTCATTTCCATTGTTTTACGCTTGAAACTGAATGGATTTGTCAGTCATCAGTAGTCAAGTCATTTTGTCAGTAGGTTCAGATCGCTCACTGGTTTGGTCAATCAACACAACCTTCATGTATTAATTATATCCTTCAGCGCTCCCAACAATTAAAGGGGCTAGGTGAATTGTAGATTGAGGAATACCCACACTTACAAATATCTAGATTTCTCCTTGTAAGCTCAGTATGCTTGTGTCAGTTGAACAGTGTGTATTACTGAAAATGTTACATTGCTGACTAAACATTGAACGATTAGAGAAAGATTAAGTGATCTAGTGTTTCTTCACCCTCCAGATGGTATTTTTGCATAAAATGATAAAATATCCATAAGAAAATTGATAATAGTCACAATGCTGCTGTTTAATTACATACAGTACATATATATATATATGGTGGTACCTTGGTATACATCAAATTCATCGTAAAATTTGAATTGGTATATGACGTTTTACTTGGAAGATGACGTCTGTTGATAGGCGTATGGGTCGAACGAGCACATGGTGCTGGGGGCGAGGCACACTCAGTTTGTTTACCTGTGTATCCCTCGTATTTACGACAGCGCTTAAATTCTTTGTGAAGAATTTTGTTGCTTTTCTGCATTTCTTAGGGGAGCCCCTACGGCTCCACAGAGCTTATCCAGGCTGATATGGATATGTTAGACTTTGGCATCTGTCAATGTGAATGGAGTTCTTAGGCCTACCGGGAACCACTAGCCAGAACCTGGCTCCCTCAGAGAGGCACGAGGACCAATGTCCTATAGAAACCCCCATGTGGTTGGAAGCATTCTATGTCTGTCAATGACTGGGTCAGGCACCCAGAAAGGTAAGCATCCCAAAACAAACCCCTATTCTGGTTAAGAAATTGCTACTGAAAGCCGAACTAGTGGACAGAACTCCCAAAACAAAAAACAAGCAAACGAGAATGACGTCACCACGCCGCCGTCTGCACAGCTCCCCCTTTCCCCTCCCGGGGAAGGGGGAGCCCCAGAATCCCAGTTCTGAGACTGAAGTCGTGTGCTCTGATTCCTGATTTGTCTCCAGCTCTGTACCTAATGGTGAGGGGACTGTTCCTTGGTGGTGCGCAAGCCAGGAGTAATTCTTCGGTACTCGGGCTGCATGTGCCTAGGGCTACCTGCCTGGTAAGTACTGGGCTTGGTGCTGCCTTCCACAAGTTCCTTGGGTTCTGCCTTTGCTTGGTTGTTTGCTTCTCGGCTATCGTCCACCCTTTGTGTGCGGGGGGGGGGGGGGTGTTTTTTGGCACCCTTGTTCGCCTTTGGGTAAGAGGCAGTCTGCACTGGTAGGGGCCCAGGGTACTGCACAGCTAGTTGTCACCTCTCATAGCGGCCGGCTCTGTTCCGCCTGGGTACATTGTCCTCTTGCAGGGTTTTATTTTTATTTTTGTTTTCCCTGCATAGTGTGGGGGTCTGCCTTTGCTTGGTTGCCCCCTGTATCTTATAAGATTATCTGTATTTCTGGTGGTATCCTATACTAGGCCCTTGTGAGTGTACACGTCCCGGGGCTTCAGCTGTTAGAAAGTTGTTGGTAGACTTGGATTCCGGTTAGCAGTACCCTGCCTGGGTTTCCATGAGTTACGTCTCAGGACCCTGGGAATCCCCACAGGGGTGCGTGAGTCCGATGGATGAGACCCTTGGGTCCCCCCCCCCTTCCCCCTCGCTTTGTGTAGTTTGAGGGTTGCTCTATTCCCTTGTCTCAGAGTGATTCTTTGCCTCCGTCATGTTGCTTGCTGGGTTTGGTGACACCTTCAACAGAGTCCTGCAAGTTTTGTTACTTGCTCGTGACTCAGTTTACCCAATCTACTGATGTCGCTATTCGGGTACAGGCAGCGCAGACCTTGCATGTTATGTTTAGGTTGATTGCTAACCTGGAAGCCCCAAGGTTGCCCCGTTTTAGTTATAGGGACCCGGACTTATGGATGTTGGTTGCTCTGGCCTTGGTTCAGTCCGCAGCCCCCTCGTCCTTCCCCTGCTGTGGTTCAATCTGGTTCTCCTATGCGTCCGGCTCCGAAACGTCTGAGGGTTTCGGGGTCGGGGCATTGTTTCGAGACTTGGGCAGTCTTGGGGGATGCCCCTTCCGGGGTGGCGACAGAGGCATTCGAGTCGGTTCTCCTTGCCGAAGCGTTTGGGTCTTTTTTTTCCTGATGATTGGTTTGTTCGGTTGCAGCCATCTCCTTTTCTGGCGAAGAATGAGACTGCTGCTTTCTGGAGGGGTCCTTGGGTTGTTTATGCATGGTTGGTTCAGCCAGGGGTGCATCATGTTTGGTGTCTGGTTTTGGCTCTTCGCTGTTCCTTGTGCGTTACGGCCTCTGGCAGGGGATGCGCTTTGGGTTTACCCGGTTTCCCTTCTTTACTGTTCCAGAGCGTGTCTTCCCCCCCCCCCCAGGCCTTTCTTTTCGCAGGATTATTTGGTCTTGCTAGCCTACGGTCTATTCCCGTGCCCATGACATTCGTAAGTTCACGGCTTTGGCTGCTGTTTTTGGTAATATGTCCTGGGCTGACATTCTGGCACAAGGCTTTTTGGAGATCGAACAGGGTCGTGGCTGCACGGTACCTTATTCATTTTCCTGCTCCTTCTCGGCCGTGTGTAGCCTTGGGTCACAGGTTGCAGCCAGTTGTCTCGACTTCGAGTTGAGGAACGAGTGGTGGCCGCCTCATAGGTAAGTCCCCCTCTTTTCCTTCATCTTTGGCTAGGTAACTCCTAGGAGCCGAAGGGGCTCTCCACAGAAAACCAGCGTTGAATGTAATGAAACGCCATTTTCTGTTTGAAACCCAGAGGCTCCCCATCATCCCTTCCTCTGGTCGCCGGTTCTTTGTTTTTGCGTTTTTTTATAGTCGACTGCTGAACTGGGGTTGGCTAGTCGGCATGGGAGGACTGGAGCCCCCCTACCCTCACCCGGGAAGGGGGAAGTTGCACAGACAGCTGCACAGCGGCTGTAGTTGTCATTCTTGTTTGCTTGTTTTCGATTGGAGAGTTCTGTTGGCTAGTTCGGCTTTCAGTTTGCAATTTTTAACCAACTGTAGTTTATTTTGGAATTCCTGCCCTTCTGTGTATCTTACCTGGTAGATGGCAGACATAGACTGCTTCCAATTACACAGGGGTGTCTATAAGCCATTGTTCCTCGAGCCTCATCTGAGGGGGGCCAGGTTCTGGTGTTGGTCCCCGATAGGCTTAGAACTCTATCGATTGACTGTTGCCACGGTTTAATATATGCACACCAGCCCGGCATAGCTCTGGGGAGCCTCCAGGACTCGCCCAGAAAATGGCGTTTCATGACATTCAACACTGGTTTTTTGTTTCCGAGCCCTTTAACTCTCATATATAACATTGTCTGGGAAATTTTATTCTGTGTACTAAACGTGTAACAAAATATATAATAATGAGAGAGTAATCCATTTGTAATCTTGGGACTCCTTGTCTAAACACAGTGTTGTCCCAATTTAAACATGCTTACTTTTTCATCGTTCCTTTCAAATCTAATAAAACATTTAATGTGTTAATATTGTACAGGATGATGATAGCAAGAACAAAGAGAAACTTAAGCTAAAGCAAGCAGAATTTGAGGAGGAGATGAAGAAGAAAACAAAGACTTTAAAACCACGTGTCATGGGGTGCTTATGGATGGCAGATAAAAACAACAATCGAGGTAAGGCATTTTTATTTCTTGTTCATGACGCACTTTTTGTATCTGTTAGATGCATATCGCTAACACACAAGTCCCCACCTAAATGAACCCAGCCTTAACGAATTCCGGGATGGTCCTAACAAATTTATTTGGTACAAATTGGGCCGTGGAACATACAAATGTTGATCAAGTGAGGATTGCGTGCAAGCCTTCACTGAGGCTGCGTGTTGAGAGGTGGCTGTGTTATCATTCATAATCCATTTAATGAAAGTGTAAACTGTTGTGTATTGCTTAAAAATCTTTTAATCAAACTTAACACTTTTGCACTTACATAATATTTTACAAATTACAGTACAGTATATTATAAAATACTAATAATTAAAAAATAGACAACAGCCAAAATTTAACAAATCTATTAAATACAACAATGTATAATACTGTATTATACAAGTATTATCAATGAATAGTAACTCAATCTATACACAAATTAAACAATTAATTTATTATATATATATATATATATATATATATATATATATATCATATATATATATATATATATGAAATGGGTATATAAGAAAAAAATTAGAGAAATATATATATAAATATAGAGAGAGAGAGATCTATATATATATATATATATATATATATATATATATATATATATATATATATATATCTCTATATATATATAGAGAGAGAGAGAGATATATATAGAGAGAGATAGATATATATATAATCTCTATCTATCTATCTTCTAAGCCACAAGTCCATAAACATGTTCTAACAGCAGGCTGAGAGCTTTCCCATCCCATAGCTCATGGTAAGCCTTACCTAATCACTGTTGGATGAACAGAGCATAGCTCTCATCCTGTATCTACACTTGGTCACTTGGGTAATTACACACAGTATATTTTAAATCTAACATCTTATCTATGGATTTGCAACATAATGTACATACCGTATTAAACGAGTATACTATCAGAACAATTTCTGAGGTAATTAACAAGACTGTACTTTTTTTTCAGCATATGATCAACTTTTAAAGATCTTGAGCCCACACAAGGCAGTAAGACTCTGCTCCCAGTTGCCAATTGGTACCAGGTATGGGGGAGTGCAGCTTGCAGATAACAAAGACAAGCCAGAAGATGAGGCTGCTGCTGATGACAAAAATGGTGCAAGGCTAAAATATTTTAAGACATTCCCTGAAGAAGGTTAGATATATTTTATTCAGAGTATAACAAAAATTAAATCCTTATCGTGCTTCTTCCTTTTATAAATTTTTCAAAGGATCGCATTTACTTTTTTACTTTTTCATGCTATATTTTATTTTCTTGTATTCATAAAAAATATTTGAAATATCTTTAAATAAATACTGTATAATTTTGTTGAATATTTCTGTGGGGAACCCCTTGTGGCTCCCTGAACTTACTATGCTGATACTACTAGGTGCCACCAGATCAGAGTTCTTATTGGCCTACCGGGCACCATGAGCCAGAACCTGGCCCTCCTCAGAGAGGCACAGGGAGCAATGGCACCATGAATAATTTTAGTAAAAATTTACTTATGTCTGCCATCACCAAGGAAGGGCACCCAGAAACTCAGTGAAAAAAATAGACCACAACTTGGTTAAAGCAGTGGAGCTTACAAAGCAGTTATACTGGAGTTATACTATATATAGTTATATAGTTATAGTTATATAGTTATATATATAGTTATACTATAACTAACCCCAACAAAGTAAACAAACTATTGAAAATTTGTGAAACTAGCATGAATTTACTTACCACCTCCCCACCACCTCTCGTTTGAGGGAGGGAGGGATGCAGTCAGGGTCATCCGGCTGCTCCATCTCCAGTTCTTTGCTGATGTAGGCAGTATCTGGTCGCCCTCTCTGAACACTAGTTCCAGTCTCCTGTCTTTTGCAAAGACGTGTTTGCCTTTGTGGCTGTTTCTTGCGCATTTTGTCACATTATCCAAGAATTTTGTGCACTTGGTGCTGCATCTGCTCATGGTTCCCTTTCTTGGGTGCTCCTTAAGTGCTACCCTTGTGCAGTCAGGGTTATCTTCCCTGATATGCTCCCTTAAGAAATCTCCTCACTTGTGGTGACCCTCACCCTTCCCTCACCCCTCATCAGATACTCCAGTTGTCTTGGGCATGCTATCTTTCCTGGAATTGGGAGGGGGAGTGCACTGTTTGCACAACCTTATCGGCATGCCACGGTAGGCCTTATGGTTTAATACCTGCTTGATACTATGATTCTCCTTGGTTACTTTTCTGCATTTGGTGCTTGGGAGTTTTGGGGAGCTTTTAAGTTTTCATTCCCAACCCTTTTTTAGCCTCCGCAGGAGGAACTGGCTCAAATGCCTCCGTCCACAACCCGAATGGGCAGCCCCCAAAGCTGTCAGTCTCATTACCAACTAAACCCTGCCCTGACTCAGAAACCCCTCAGACATTTGGGAGCCGGGAGCAGGACGAACAACAGGGGAAAGGACTAGGGTCACGGGCGGAACCAAACTCGAGGCTACTAACACCCCTAAGTCCGGGTCCCTATAACCAAAGAGGGGCATTTGGGTGGGCAACCAATCTAGTGTGTTGCAGCAACCTAAACCTCGCATGCAATGCAATGTGGATGCCGCATGTACCCGTATATCAATGTTATCATAATGGGTAAATTGGAGACCAAGCAGAGAGCACGACTCGCAAGATTCCTGGTCAATGGTGTCGTTGACCCAACAGGCAGCATGATGGAGGCAAAAACGGTTACTGTGACCCTGAGGCAAGAGCACACAGCAACCTTCGAACTCGCACAAGGCAAGCTGGAACTTGGAGGACTCATCCATAGGTCTAATGAGCCCCAATTGGGATTTCCAGGGCCCGCAGGCTGACTGCTACGGGAAGCCCAGGCAAGGTACTTCAAAACTGGCTAGTCCCAAGCTAACAAGGGAAGCTGCTAAAGCTGAACCCCTGTGACATTGCGTACCAAGTAGTACTTGGTACGCAATGTTCACAGCCTAGGGAAGAAAACTCTTCAGCGCATGCAGCCCCTGTACTCGCAAATTTCTCCCTGACCACCATGCCATACACAGCAGGATACTTCTAAGTTATACAACTGTACAGATTCTGGGGCCAGAATTAACGTCCGCCTCCTTCCCCACTCCCGGCGAGGGGAGGGCTGCATGGAAAATGGCGTGGCAGCGCAGTGTGGCATTTGCTTGTTTGCTACTTTTTCTGTGGGGAGCCCCTACGGCTCCCTGGAGCTTATCGGGCTAATGTATGTTATATTAGACCAGGACAATAGCTAAGGAGTTCAGACCTACCAGGGACCAGCGCCAGAACCTGGCCCCTTCATAGAGGTTTCAGGGAGCAATGGCCCTGGAAAACCCCCTTGTGGTTGGGGTTTTCCTTATCTGTTATCGACCGGGGTTAGGCACCCAGAAAGGTAGGCATAACAAAACAAACCCCACATGGTAAAAAACTAAAACAAAAAACTGAACAGAGGTAAAAACTCCCTACAATCCCAAGGAAACAAGCAAACATCACACTTTACTGCAGCGCCGATCGTCCGTGCAGCCCTCCCCGCCCCGAGAGGGGGAGGGGGAAGCCTCGGACCTCACCGTGCCGGCTGCCTAACATAAGTTCGTAAGCTAATGTCAACTGGGATAGACTCTTCTCTAGCCTCGGTTTCCAAGGCGGTGTTTGCCTTGTGTGGCGTTCACTGCCGTGTGTTGTGTTGTGCGGTGGCCAGGTGTTCCTCATCAGTACCAGGGCTGCATGCGCTTAGGAGATTCCTTCCCTAAGTGCCCTGTGTGACAAGGTTATCTTCCCTGGGGCGTTCGGGCACCATTCCCGTAGAGGTTCTTGCTGCTCGGCATTTGCCTCGCCCTTGGGGCCAGCTGGGGCTTGGGGCCCTTGTTTGGCCCTGGGTAGGGACTGGTATTCTGCTGGTTAGGGCGTCAAGGTGTTGCGCGACCTGACACCTAAGCGGCGACCGGTTCCTGTTGCCTCTGGAGATGGTGTACTTTTGCGGGGGTTTTCTTTTCATTTGCCTGGTGGGGGTCTGCCTAGTGTGGCTATAGTTTCACTGGTAGTGTTTGGTGGCCCTCTGGTAGGCCCCCGTGATTGTACACGTCGCAGGGGTTTTCAGTGTTGTCCTCTACCCCTTGTTATTTTTGGGTTTCTTAACCGGTTAGCAACACCTTGCCTGGGCTTCCCGTAGCAGTCAGCCTTTCGGGCCCTGGAAACCCCTGTCTGGGCTCGGTGGACCATTGAATGTGTGTTCCGGGTTCCAACCCGTCTTGTACGGGATCGTTGGTTGCTGTGCCCTTGTCTCCGAGTGACAGTCACCACTTTTACCTCTGTCCTGTTGCCTGTTGGGTCACTCACTGACACCTTCACTCTGAGTCTTGCGAGAAAGATTCTCTGTTGTTCTCCAGTACTCTCCTGATGTTATTACTGTTCAGAGTACAGGCGGCATCCGTGTTGCAAGCTAGGTTAGGTTGCTGCAACATGCTAGGTTGGTTTCCCACTCGGATGCCCCAGGGCCGCCCCGTTTTGGTTACGTGCTGTTCGCTCCCTTTCCCCCCCCCCTGTTCCTGGATCCGGACCGTCTGCGGGTTTCGGGGTCGGGGCGAGGTTTAGTTGGGGCAAAGACTCGGGCGGTTTCGGGGACTGCCCCGTTCGGGTTGAGGATGGAGGTTTTCGAGCCTGTTCCTCCTGCCAAGGCTTCTGGGTCTTACCAGTTGCCCTTTCTTGCTGCCTTTCCAATGGACTCTTCCTTTTCTTTAAGGACGGAGGGCTTGGAGGCCGGCTCTGCCCTAGGGCCTCTGTTGCGGGTTCCCGGGGCTGTGGGGATGCTTGCTAGCAGTTCTGGGATGGTTTGCCCTTGCCTGGGTTTTCTGCTTCTGGGCGGAGTTTTTCGCCCATCCAGTCTGCTTGCTTCCCACTTTTGCAGGCGTGTTTTCGTATCTTTTGCGTCGGTCACAGCCCTCTGTTCTGGTGGCCATTTTCTTCTGCCGGTTTCCCGGCGTAGCCACCAGGACGGCGTTGCGGTTTGTTTACATGCGCCTGGGTGTGCGAGCGAGCATCTTCGAGTTTTTTCACCTTTTTCAGGGGTTTTATTCTCCTGTTGTCGTTTCTTTGCTTTTCTGGTGTTTTCTGTTCCTCTGGGAATGTTTGAGTGTTGGTTTTACACCAGGGTTTTCATTTTGTCTGTTTTGGGTCTGGGCCCCCTAGGGTTTGGGCTCAGTGTCCCTGTCTTATGCTTACTCCCACACCTTGTCCCTCGGTTTTCGGTCTGTTTTGACCGTTTCCCTGGGGGTTCTGTCTGGGGCTGTGCTTTGCCTTTCTGTGGTGTATCTCCACCGGCAAATGTGGTGGTTTGGGCTCCCCCTGGTTCGATTCCGGGTTCTGTTGGGTTCTTTGGTTTTGTTCTGGAGGTTTTTTCCTCTTGGGGCCCAATTTGTGAGTTCAGGGGGCTCTCTCTCCTCATGTGTGACCCGGTTCTGGCTTCTGGTGTTCCGGGGTCTTCCTGGCTTGCAGACTGATCTTTTTGGGTCTTGGCATGTGTTGTGGTCGTGCTGGGACTTTGGGGTTTGTTGTCGAGGTGGGCCTTTTGATGCAGTTTTGTGCCTTCTTCGCCTGGCTGGCATGGTGCTCTCTGCCCACTGGTCGGCGGCTTGTAATTTTCTTTTCGCGTGTGTGTGTGTGTGTACATGTACATGTGTGTAATACACCTTGTGTGTGCATGTATTTATATGTGTATGTGTTTATATATACATGTGTATATGTATACTTTTTCTTTCGGAAGGGGCTCTGTTCCCTTCGCTGTTGACGGGGCGTTGGGGGAGCAGCTTGCTCTGTTGACTCTCGCATGGTCCCGCAGTTAGTGAGCGCTTTTGATTGTCTTCCGGCCTCTAGTGGCAGCAGCGGACGTCTTCTTTCCCTTTGGGGGGTTCAGGGCTGGCGGGGTGGACTTCTTCCCCTGCGCTTCGTCCTGTTATCTTAGTGGGTGCGTTGGATGTGGTCGATCCACCCCATCCTTCTGGGGATCCTCTCTGCTGTGTGCAGACATGGGCCTGGCAAATCTGTGGTTCTTCTGGACTTCTTCAGTCTGCGCCCTGGATTCTATGCCCTCGTCGGAGGACTGTTGTCTCCTGTCCGGCTTCTGTTGGGGCCGGGTGCCTGGATGGTGGCCCTGGACCTCCAGGTCAA